GGTGAGATGGTGGAGGTGAGCTTGCCGACGTCGATGAGATCGGTGTTGACCCGATCCAAGCGAGCAAGAATGTCGTTGAGGAAATTTTGCACGACCTGGGTTCCCACCGTCTTGATTCGGCGATCATCGGAAACGCGCCCTTCCGTCAAGAAACCTCTCAGTGCGGCGGTGATGCGACTCACTTCCGAGCCGATTTCGTCGACCTTGCCGTGTACTTCGGCCATTGTTTCTGTCGCCTGGTTGGACGGGCGGCTGGCTCCGCGCGCGAGGACAGGGCAGCGAGGCTGGAGATGCCCGACTAGCGGGACATTGAACGGAGGAGCGGATTGGATATTCTTTTCTTCTTACTCCCCCTCTTTTTTTTTTTTCTGCAAACCGAAGTTTATATCGAGCGTGAGCTGGTAACACCCGCAGACTGCACCGTGGTTTCTGAAATGAATGAGAGCAGCCGCCAGACCATTTGAGAGGTGCGCTGGCCCGTGCTGAGTGGAACTGCCGCCCCGGTTGGCAGGCTCCCCAGTGGGTGGTGCGGTCAGATGGGTGGATGGGCCCATGGACGCGACACGCTAATTGAGGGGCTGGGCATTTTGGAGGGGTTCCCTGGGTTTGGCTTTTTCTAGCGCATTTCAGTGCAGTTGCATGTAGAATGGAGTGGGGCATCCACAACCTAATCTGGCAGCTCGACTCGCTTGGAAAGTCTTTCATTCCTCGATATGGATACAGGTCAGAAATAAGAGCAATTTGTTGAGAGTCTCTCTCTGAGAGGATTAGGAGTAATATTCCATCATCAAGTAGACTTCCTGTGAGAGAGGGCAATGTCCCGTCCTCCTGACCTTGCCCCAGAAACGATGTGGACCTTGGCTCCATGGATGCTCCACCAATTTGTCGATTTGTCCCGTGACGATGGTATGTGTAGGTACCTGATGTGTCTACACAGTACCTTTTTTTTGGAATCAAGTTTAAAAAGGTACCAATCCATTCGATAACCTGTTTGGGAGCTGGGTCTTCGGCGGCATATTCAAGGCACTTAAAAAAATTCACATGGTTTGTCTTTATTCTTTTTTTTTCTTTCTTCCGTTCTTTGATAATCAGTACACATGTCGTAGATGGCATGATCAACGCCCCCCCGGCGCCAAGTCTGTCTTTAGATACTTTGACCAATCACTAACACAAGAGTCAACATCCTTGCGCACCTGGTCATTGACAGCACTTTGCAAGGCGCAGCACTTGGAATAGTCTCTCAAACCAACCAACATTCTTTCACGACATCTTTTGTTTCTACTTCAACAACCAAACCGATATCATCTAGCTTGATGGATTTTATTCCTCGTTCCGTTTTCGTTCCCAACTAGCACCTCGAACGATTTTCCCCTCCGAACATGTCCAATAACGATACGATCCTCACCGACGACTACGTCGCCGATCTCCTGGCCAAGGAAGCAAACGATGCTTCGATAAAATACTCCTCCATGGGACTCGAAGCTTTCCGCTCGACCAAGTATGCACCCAAAATCGCTTGACTCCGGCGCCGCATAAGCGAACGAGAATCCCGTTAACGAGCCCATCTCTCTTTTTCACAGACCGTCCAATAAAGCAAAGCCAAATACGCGATTCCTGGGCCGCATCATTAAAGAAACAACGAACCACAATGCTGCCCTTCTTGCGCGAGAGGCTGCCGAGGCACAGGCGCGCCTAGATAAATTGACTGAAGCGGAAGACAAAAAACGGAAGAAGCTGAATCCCTCTGCGTCAGACATCCGGCGCCGCCAGCTCGGCGACATCACGTCTATTTTGCACGGTCGCAAGCGGCGGAGAGATGGTGATGATCACACAAAGGGGGAAGGCAAGCAGCCGCAAGATGACGGCGGGCAGGAGAGTGATAAGAAAAGGCGCAAGCGAGAGGAGGAGCGACGGAGTCGTCAGGACAAGGCCTCCAAGACGAGACATGACGATACATTGCCGGCGCCCGAACGAGAGCGTCATCACCGCCGCCGGTCCGAGAGGTCGCGCTCCCCCGAACGGAAAGGACGCAAACATCGGGACCGTTCCCTGCTTGATAGCAGCACCGAGGACGAGCGCCGACATCACTCCTCCAAATCGCACCACCGAGACAGTAGGAAGTCAGACAAAGACCGCAATCCGGACCGCGACCGCAAGCGAGATCGTAGGGACCTGTTCGCGAAAGAATCCCCCAAGCGCAAAATCAGCGCGCGAGATCATTCCTCAGAAGACGACGGGACCAAAAACCCACGACCCGGTCGCTCAGATCGTGAGACAGGCCGTTCAGTCAAGACCAATTCAGATGACTCCGACCCGCTCGACGATTTCATCGGCCCCGCGCCACCTTCCGGAAAACCAGCAGTCCGTGTACGAGGAAGAGGCACAATGAGGGGGTCAGCAGCGATGGATAGCAAATTTTTGGAGGATTACGACCCGGCGTCCGACGTGCAAGTGGACGACGACGCGCCCACGGCATCCACAGAGAACTGGGAGGACGCAGTCGAGAGTTTTCGAGATCGACAAAAGTGGAAGCAGCAGGGCGCGCAGAGACTCCGGGATGCCGGGTACACAGAGGAACAAATCAAGAGGTGGGAGAAGGGCGGAGAGAAAGATATCGACGATGTCCGCTGGACCAAGGCTGGTGGACAAAGGGAGTGGGATAGGGGGAAGGACGATTCCACGTAACCTATACCTTACTTCACATGCTTTTTCCTTCTTTTCATGTTGAATCTCTGCATATTTCAGGCGTTCGGATTTGTTGGGCTATTTTTTTGTTGCATAAGACATGAGGAGTTATCAGGCTTGAGTGTTGCGCATCTGCATTTCCAGAGTAATGTTTTAAGATATGAATAGATCACACCCATCTCATGTTATTCAGGCGTTATAACAAGTCCAATATACTGCAAATTGCGCATCTCATAATAAGAGTCAGGTATACAAGCATAATAGTCATTCCTTGCATTGTGTTGTTAATCTGTTTGTATGTTTGCTCGACTGCTCTGACGTCCAATTTAGTACCTCCAATATTTTCATGTCATAGATATACATGTACTTGGTATCCCATTAAATATTTTATATATATACAAAGATCCCACAACTATCATACCATCCGTTGTTGCCGTTATAATGCATAACCGATGCTCTCGCAATCCCTATCGACAAAAATCAGCCGTCAAAACTGCCAGACAACAACACCTGTGACCCCCTCGCATTCTTGATCATGTGTTTCCACAGAGATCCTGGCACGCCCCGCCTTCCATATTCACCATCCTTTTTTTCCAATTTAACACTCATCTTTCTTCCCTACCTTCCCCAACCCACAGTCTCCCCCCTCCTAGTCTTCAATTGCCCGTGCCCCTGCCCCTGCCCTATTTCATGCCCTTGTCCCTTTTCCCCGACAACCATCCCGCCTTCCTTCTCGTCATTGGTAGCCCAGACCCGCTCCACGCAGAGTTCAAACGGCCCCTCGATCCGATCCGTCAGCCCGAACCCGATGCTCTTGACCTTTTGCCGCAGTATCTCGGTCTGGGGCTCGACGACGAAGCCGTGGTTGGTCCGCACGAACATGTTCCACTTGATCAGGACCGTCTCCCACTCGCCGGGCTTCTTGACGAACAGCCTGTGCTGGTGAAGGTCGGTTGGGATGACGGATTCCGTCTGGACGTTTACAAAGTACGACCGGCCGTCCGACTTTACGCGGAGCGCCAGGTAGACGTAAGGGTCAATGTTCCAGAGCGACTTGCCGAACACGGTCGGGGGCCGGTCGACGGTCCGGAAGGCCGCGTAGCCCGTTCGTTTGATTTCTGGCCGGTCGGCGGGGAGCGCGGTCGAGATGCTGCCGTGGAACCTGGCGTGGGGCGTCGGGGAGGACGGGGTCGGGTGAACGAAGGAGAGGGAGGCGGTCGAGGAGCCGCCAATCTCTTGATCGGTAAACACTTTGCAGTCTTGGACCGAGGACGGGGACGAGAATGTGAGGAGCGGGTAAGGCGTCGTGGCGCCTTTGATGCCTTCTAGTTTGAATGCTGGGCGAGGGGATGTTAGTGGGAAATTATGAATGAAACTATTTAGGTAGAGAGGCCGGGTTCTAAAGGGGGGGGGGGGCGGGGAATACCAATGTTGGAGAGTCGCTTGAATTCGTCGAGGCTGCGACCCCAGAAGCCTTTATGTTGTAGGCACCGCGTTGCTTGCATTTTTTTGGATGTGGGGAGGGGTTGAAGGCTAAGGAGAGAGGGTCGTGATGCGCTCGCTCGTGGGGGACACAAAAGCTCCCAGTTGGAGACGACAGTGGCGGGGTTATATTGGATACAGAGCGCTCGCGCATTCAACAATGGACTAGGATTCGGTCCGCATTATAGGACGCGATGTCGAAATATGCGCGCCCTTGCTTTTATCTGCAACGAAAGGTTGTGACGGTTTTGTAGCTTTCAGTGGTGCTTCTCCAGTTTATTTTGGAGCTTCTCCAGCGCAGCAATTGGTTTTGACGGGACGTCATCCAAGCATCTTCTTTCAGGGTAAAACCACCCCCACGGCGTACATACATCACTTACAGGTGGGGTTGCTTCTTCGTCCTTATTCAATTCCAAGCTTTTATCCTCTACCTCCTCTTTGTGAGATGAATTTTATATTTTATTTTTTTTAATATCATTTGTATTTCGAGGGGTTAATCGCCTTCCTCCTGGCCAATCGAGGAATGCTGTGAGAGGTGAGGTTTACTTCACAATAGCTAGCACAGGGCTGGGTTGTTGACCATCTCCCATTTCACTCCGCGAACCACCACACCACAACTTACACGGAGATAAATAATGCTACCTTTGCATTGAGTAGCAGTTTCAGCTCCTGAGATTAGCATTTTGTTTCTGCATATCTGCAGCGAGGAGAAAACCGGTAACCACCTCAAACCGAACCACCGTTCGGCAAAAAAAAGAAAAAAAAAAATTCCAAGCACAAGCGGCCTGTGCACTCCTGAGATGTGTTTTTGAGAATGAAGATCAAATGCGAAATCCTCTGTGGCGCAATTGGCTAGCGCGTCTGACTGTTAATCAGGAGGTTGGAAGTTCGAGCCTTCCCGGAGGAGAGATGCATCTCATTTTTGCTTTTTATCCATTGACCCGGTCAGTAAACAAAGATATTTGGATTGTAGTCTTGTTTTTAATTTATTTTTTTCTCTTTTTTCTCTTTCAAATTTTGTTCCGTTGCTGTCATGACGGACAGAGCTTATTATAAGCGCTGATCGATCATTGCAAAAGTCCAGTCAGAATGACTACCACCTGAGAAGCAGCTTTGAACATGACTGTGTGTGGCATCATCCATTTGACGCAATATAAAGAAGGTCCAAGACAGATGATATCTGGTTTAAAAACTTGAAGTGGGTTTAGGCAATGATATTGCTTGTTGATGTAGCATACACGCTGCGCGAGTCCCTCACTGAAAAGGAAGGTATGCAGGCGTTCATATGGCTCTGGCAATTATTTCTACACAAAGTATGTTTGGCGCTGGGGGGTAGGCCCTGTGTTCGGTGAAGGCAGCGTAAGCACGGTGTGGTGATTCTGCTGGTGGGAAGAGCTCTTCGGTCTAGGTTCCTTTTTTTTTTTTCTTCACTCAAAATTTCCATGAATACTAATGACATCCTCAGGTAAGTTATTTAGTAGTCACTTGGAAATCTTGAAAAAGAAAAAAAAGGGCATCGCTTTCTAGGAAGCCAGATTTGTAGTTTTGGGAAATAGATTGACCGTCGGAATAGAGGACAAGGAGAAACAGGCATATTTATACCTGTCTTCAACCTCGCCTTGATATTTTATCTCATTTCCAAACAACTTTAATACTTCCTTTAATTTCATGTGAGAGTTATACAGCAGCGCCGTAGAATCTGATCCCTCTGATCAGGCGGGGAAGACTGTAGACGGAATTTCTTTTTTTTTTTTTTTTTTTTTTTTTTACTTTCTCCCTACAATATCACCGCTTATTTATCTTTCCATTCTCTTTGACAAAGTTCCTAGCCAGTCAACTCTGAACTCACAAAACCTCCTACCTATGCTTCTTGTTTAAGTTGTAAATCGCTGTCTTTCCTTACCAAATTCTTTCTTCCTTTTCAACGCCTCCATACCTAGACACAAAAGTTGGATCAAGCCTTGGTAAGATCAAAGCAAACAGACGAATGTGGATGGTGATATGCGTGTATCTTCTTCATCTTTTTTTAAGAGATGTTTCATGACACACCCTACAGTCAGTTGCAAAAAGAAAACACTCATATTAACTGCAGCTGCTGGCAGCTTGGGTCGTTAATTAGAGAGGTCATCTCTATGAAAGACCATGAAGCAGTCTTCTAAAGTGGGTGGTCAATTCGGTCAATAATTGCCGTAGGAAATTTAAAAGCTGTGTTGCAAAAAATCGTCTGCTCATGCAATTCGTGGTGTTTTCTCCCTTGGACGCATAATGGTACCATCACCGCAATCACGAGAAGAAACCTCTGCTACTCTTTGCTACAACGTGCCTCAAAATGTGCGTGGGTGTGTGTGTGTGTGTATGTGTCTGCCTGCACAGCTCGCCAACCCAATTATCAAGTTTTCACATTTGGACTACAAATTCTTTTTTATTTTATTTTTTTGCCTTTTTTTTTATTTTTATTTTTTATTTTTTTTATCTTCACCATTTCCAAATTAATCATTCCGCAAATATTTGACACGGTTAACAATCGCTTGGTTTCCCTTAAAGCTTAGCATCTGGGAGGATAAATGGCCGCAAGGTATTTATTTTTCAGGCAAGCTTTGCTGTAGAAGCGAAGCACAACCTCGCACTGTCTGAACCCCATCATCGCCTGGTATATTTTTATATATCTTGATTGCGCCCAGCAATACCAGAAATGAGTTGTGAGGAACGGATAAAGCTACCATCTCCTTACTTGCAAAGCAAAGAATATAAATTTTGAAACCCCGAAACAAACGGGCAATTTTGCTTCTCTCATGCACCTTCCTTCTTTTTTGGTGGTCAGTGGCTGCCACAACACTTCGCGGCTGCAGCTCAAACTGCTTGGGTGAGTGCCTGGTCGGTCAGCTGCAGGAGGAGGGGTCGGCGCCCCACCTTCCCGAGTCGGCTTGCCGAATTCAACGTCATCCGAACTTGCAGCCCCGGCGTCTTGCGGATGTGGAGCGGTGCACGATTCGTCAACAGTACATTAACCAAAAAATGTCCAATCAGATCTTGTCACTGCGAAGATGGAAAGAACTGCCTGCTCGATCAACATCAGTGCACTTTGGCATTGTGATTCGTGCGTCTAGAGCATGCTATATTTTCTCTATTCATCACTGATACCAGTTTTGGTTGCCAACACATTTGTAAAATCGCCCTTTTTTGAGACAAGTCATTTTGACTTGTTCTTCCCTTCTTTGGTAGCGCGGGTGTGCTATTGGTATTCCTTATTTATTTAATTATTTTTTATTGTTGTTTTGTTTATTTTATTTTATGGTGCAGCATTCTGCCTCACAGGCTTATGCTTGAGGTAAAAGCCGCTTGTTGTAATCGACACATTGCTTTGGTTGTGGAATGGATCTCTCAACGATAAACTCGAGGGGAATATGCTCTAATCAACTGTGCAGTATCATGGTCATCTCCTCCCAGACCTGGCTGTTCCTTGGCAATATCCCCTTTCAAGGACCTGACTTTGTGCCCCATACCAACGTACCAGTTCTTACAAAAGCCAAGTGCAAGGTGCTTTGTAACCTTGTGAAGCTTCCAGTCAGGGCTTGTAAACAGGAGTGCTGTGGCCAGTGTATTCCTCACTGGCAAGTATTTCGCGCAGACAGGGTTGGGATCTCTATCTGATAAACTGCAATAATGACCCAAGTCTCTCTGCCATTTGCTTTGTAACCTTGGGGAGCTTCCAGTCAGGGCTTGTGTACGGGAGTGTCATTGCCAATTTGTTCCTCACTAGGAAGTGTTTCATGCAGGCAAGGTTGGGTTTTTGAAATGATGACCCAGGTCTCTCTCTGCCACTTGACCCGGAAATGAGGTATTCAGCTGCCTGGTACAGAGAGACGATGCTCTCGGTCTCCGAAATATTTTCATTGTGAGGTGTCGGTGAGAGTCTCTGTTAAATTTGGTTCGAAAGTCACCAGATCATGATGGGCTGATCACAAGGTAAGACTCCATGGTGGCATAGTAGTCCATGTCGTCCACCGCCGTGCTCAAATTATTGCTACAACTTTCGCATAACGACTCGACTCGCCTCCCTCATGTCTGAACTACTGCGATCACGTGTTTGACAGGTTTACTTCTGTCAATAGCTGTAGTGCCTCCCAGGAGATCATGGAATAGCTGCGATGACAAGTCGCTGCTGTCATGGCAGATGAAATAGAGTGTCAGATCGTCTAAAATCTGTTACTAGCTGTGTTATTACCGGACGTGGGCACTTAAGGTCCCGTCCAAGACGGGCAATCCAGAAGCCGGAGGGGCTGCGGCTTTCCCGGCAGCTGACGCGAAACCCGTCTATGCTCTCCGCAGCATCGTCAAACTTGTCGTCGACGGCCTTGCTTCTGAGGCAGACTGTTCCGGTCGTTTCCGTCAGGTAAAGCGGAACCCAGGTGAGTCGCAGCTGTTGAAAATTCGCAGTTCGGCCGCTGTCAGAAATCCCACCTACAAAATCCCCCTCCTGCCTCCAGCTTTCTCTCTTCCTTTTACTTCTGCCAACCATCATCAAAAAGCTTCAAAAAGGCTCTTCAGATTCCGCCTCGAGAACAACACTCCAGCAGTTGAAACAAGCAACTCCAAGTAAGTGGATCACCGCATCGTGATCATCATCAACATCACATCTTCTGCTGCACCATCTGGTCGAGACTTGCTTGGCTGCCTGCTGCTAGGGGTCCTTTGCTTTTCCAGATTGAGGCATTGTCGTCTCCCCTCCCTTTAGAAACCCGACCCCCATCACTTCTCATTTATTTTGCTTTCCTCCTCTCTCTCTCTCTCTCTCTCTCTCTCTATCTATCCCTCCATTTTGCTCACCATCGAGCCACTCTTTGCAAATCAACAATTGCTAACAATTTTCCAAGTCGGCAGCCGCGCTCCTTTCTCTGCTTCGATTTGGTCTCAGATTCGTCTTCGAGTCGCCTCCCAAACTCCTCACCTTCTCGACCATCATTTTCAAGAATTCAATCACAATACCACAATGGACAAGATGACTGCCACTCCTCGTCATGGCCAGGCCCAGGGCAATGGCGACGACAGCGCCCAGCGCCGCATGATGATGCGGTCCTTCAGCTACCCGAGCGCCGATTCCTCCCCGGATTCCATGGCTTCCTCCGAGGGTAAGTCGAGTTTTGCAACTATCTCTTGGATTTGCGCTGTGTTGACATTTCTTCTAGGCGGCGGTGCCCGACTCTCGGTCAGCAGCATTGCATCCGTCGAGACCGCTTCCCGCGGAATTCCGGTACGCGTGAGCCGTTCTATTGACACGGTCGACATGCGCGTTCCGACTCGGTAAGTTTAACCTCATACCACACGGTGCTGCAATGGTTGTGCGTGTGTGTGTGTCTGTGTGTGTGTCTGCGGTAAAGTCTCATATCACTGTCGAGCCCCTTTTGCGGACATAGCACACCTGGACCTCTGATTGGCGGGCATTTGTTGCATGCCAACAACCCTCCTGTGTCGTCCATCTATCTTTACGAACGATCGCTGACTGTGTCCAATCAGGTACTCCGAGGTCACCGACAGCGACCATGCAAGAATCGCCAGGACGACTAATCTCGCGGGCTTCCCGGGGTAAGTCCTTGCACTTTCCCTCGACTTTCCTTCCACCCTCCTCCGAGTCCTGGCGCTTTCTTTCGATTTTAAATCCTCCCCGTCTTCTTCAACCCCTCTTCTCTTCTTCCACTCATCTCCATCTTCATCACTCTTTTTCCATTATTATTCCATTTTTATTCAAAACTGACCGATTTCTTTTCTCCCATCACAGCCACGCCCTCGCCCACTTCCAGATCGGACACAAGTCTAACCGCGACAAGACCGTGAAGGCGTCTGCTTCAACAAAGCGCAAGCACAAGCACCAGCCAGTCCAGCACAACACCGACCTCGTCTTGCGCCCCG